GCCCCCTTTGGTGACGGGTTGGGGATATCCCGTCTGGTTCTGCGGCGCCGCGAGAGAGTACAGCAAGTCGATCTCTACGGCATCGCGTCATGACAAAGGTGGTCGCGACGGGCTCGACCAGGTCTGGGGCCGCCGCGCCAACATGTGGCCGAGGTCGCGCGACATTGCCCCATGGGCAGTGATCGATACCGCGTCCTCCTTCGATTGGCTCATGACAGACGTATTTAACAGCAGTGGACATGGCCCCGACCGCGAGTCAGTGACCGCTAACATCAAACAAGTGTAACAAGTCGGCCAGCCGTGGCAATCTCTGGGCGATGATTACATTATCGCTGCATTGCGCTTTCTTGAGTTGCATATCGACGACGACAAGACCCGCTTCCAGGTCTTCGTCAGAAGCGACGGTTGCAATGCCCTCGGCCATGACTTTATTGGGACATGTTTTGGCAATCGGGGCGGGCGGTGGTCAGAGCTGCGCTCGCATCGGCAGCGGACCGTGGAATGTGGGATGGACAAGGTTTCATTGGACAGACGCAAAGTATCTCCGTCATGCCACTACCATGGGAACTTGGGTGAGCATCGCGAAATCCGGCGTCGCCCCTGGATGTGGGGCATCACGTGAGGCGCGGAAGGAGGGTTTCTTCAGCTCCAGCCCCTTCGTCAGCGGCGACTTTCCGTATCCGCGCGCAAGCTTCCCGGTTGCAAGCTTCCCGGTTGCAAGTTTCCCGGTTGCGAGCAGGTCGACGTCGTCGCCAACGTGGGGGTCTTTGTGTCAGCGGGGTGTGTTTTCTGGCTTGGTGAGCAGGGCGCCATTACGCGCCCGCAAGTCATGCCATGCAGTGCCGCCGTTGCCATCCGTTCCGTTGTTGGGAAAGCACTGTGCCCAGAGCGCAGCTTGGCTGGGACATGCCCGCCGCTGGAACGGCCCGCGGAGCCACAGAGCCAACGCGGAGTTTGCGACGTTGTGCCGTTGGCGACACCTGCGGCGAAGCGCGCGCCCAGAGCATCGACGAGGACGCGGATCATGCCTCCGCCGCCGCCGCCAGCACCTGCGATGGCATGGCAGCCAACGTCGCAGACGCCGTCCGCCAAACCTCCGCCGCCGCAGCTTACTGCGAGCGGCCCTGCCATTGCTGGGCGCTCTCCGCCTCCACTGCCGCTTGCGCTTGCGCATCCCGCGCCGGCGGCCATGCCTGCTGACGCCGCCGCGGGCGCCGCGGCGTCGGCAGTCCTCCCCGAGGCAGGTTCGCAGTGTGACGCCGCCCCTGCGGGTGGGCCCCCGCCTGCGCGGCGCCGCCAGTGGCGCCCCTCTGTCCGACCCTTCGCCGGTGGAACCGCCCGCTTCTTCCCGGGAGGCGGTCCCACCGGAACTCCCACCGACGCAGGTCGCGCAGGGGGCCGCCGATGAGTTGGCACAGGCAGACGAATGGTGGAACAGCGGGCTCACCGTTAAGACACTGCACGAACCGCTGTTAAAAGGAGCTTTCGGATAGCTGCTGGGATCGGGGCCCGAGGTGCACCGGCATCGCGGGCGGCGACGTCATTTGCGCGCAGAACATATAATGCCCCAGATGTAAGTCCCGCGTGAGAGCAGCAACCTGGCGCGCGCATTTCCGTGGCTGACGCCGATATCTTTCCGCGCCCACCTGGCGAGGTAAGCCCCGTGGGATCCCGTGTGCACGCAGGCCCAACCTGGCCCGGGAAGCTCCGCCTCTGCTGCCACCCACACTCAGGAACAACTCGTCGAAATTCTCCGTGCTGATGTTGATGGCCTTCTCCAGGATGGCGAGGTGGCCGCGCAGGAGGTGGCTCTATCATTGCTGAGCACAGTGGGGCTGCCTCAGCACGCCAGTCTCGCGGAGACATGGCGATGGGCGATCTATCCGATCATGTGACAGATGAGGGATGCGAGTCTCTCTCTGCCGATCTTGCTACCGATAGCGGTCGCGCGATCCCCGATCAGGCCCTCCGTGATCTTGGGCGTTCGCTGAGCGCCGGGGGAAACGCTCGCGAGCGGATTGAGTCACTCGCTCAGACAAGACAGGCGCGCCCGACATCCAGACGGAGAAACGATGTTGCCAGAGATGCGTCCGCGACCTCCCCGCCAATTAGAGCGACCACGTCTGCGAGATGTGCGTGAACGCCCTCCAGTTTGGCGGGGCAGGCGAGGATGAAGTCGCGTTCATTGCAGGTGTCAACTGTTGGATCCGCGACAATGTGAATACGAACGTTGCGCATCAGCTAATGAGCGCAGACGGCGCAACCATATTCACAGGTCAGAGAGCTGACGCAGCCCTTTAAAGGTATGACCTCAGAAGGCTGTCTTCGAAGGCAGAGGGAAGTTGCGAGAGGTGGCTCGCTGCGGGGGAACCAACGGCGCGCGCGCGTCGCTTGGCCGGTGCCCAGGCAGATGAAGAAGATGAGGGGGCAGTTGTCTACCATCCATGCAAGAACGTTGCCTGTCGCTTCTTGGAGTGTCCTGTCTTCTGACAGCAAGTGACACGTGAGCGTGAAATCGGAAACCAGCCACCTGTAGCGTTCTCAGGCATGGACTTGGCCGTGCGCCTCCATGCCGACGGCGTGGAGAGGTTGCGCTGGGCGTGAAATTGCTGCACCTGGTGCGATGACTCGCGTTGAGCGCATCAAATCGGGGTTCGTGGCCTTCTCCATTCCGGAAGGGGATGAGACGGGTCAGGGCCGCGTGGACCTGGCGCAGCCCAGAGCGACAGATCGCGCCACTGCGGACGCTAAGATGGGTAAAGCTTGCGGCAGGGGGATCGATCTTGTCATCGATCCCCGCTCCACCCTGCCGCCCGCGCCTCCGCCGTCGCGCCGCGATGGGCCAGCCGTGGGCGCTGCTGGCGACGCTGGCTGGACTGGCGTGGCCGCGGCAGCTGGCTGCGCCAATTGCGGCGACGGCGCCGAGGCCGAGGACGCCGCCGCGCCGGCCGCGCGGCTGCGAGGCTCGCGACGCCTGGCCATCAAGCGCAGTCGGAGCGGCGCTCGCAGGTCGCTCCCAGAGGCATGGTGGCGTCAGTCCCTGGGGCACTACCGCGATGGCACGTACCGCTACTGATCATGCCATTTGAACGCGTGGATCTGCATCGATTGGCACGATTGCGAGTTCATTTGGGTTGACCACATCATGGCGCGCACAGTTGGACAATTCGACAATCGTGGCAATCCTGTTTGAGATCCTGCACGCTATGATCACACTATGCTTCGTTGATAGAGTTCACGAACTCAACGCTTGGATGGGCTTTCGTACGATTGCTGTCTAGATATATACATCTACGTTGTCACGTCCCAGACAACATGCGTGATTTCGTAGATTGACTTTGACGTTGTGGGCATGAGCGCACCCAGGCAGATCGCCCGCCAAAAACATCGCACAACCTTTGTCGACATCATAGGCAGAAACGCACCTAGGCAGGTCCCCCGTCGCACATGCCGTATTTAATATGGTCGTATCATGGAACCTCATTTTCATGGGAAGTCCATTACCTCGCGGAACGACATATGCAAATCATTATTCCCATTCTCCATTTCAGTTTTATAATCCTCTTGGAACGATGCGGGAAATAGTCCACACATATTTTCAGGGCCTGGAGTGCCCCACATGTCTCGACGTGTGCGCTATCATCATTGCGATACGTTGCCATCGCAACTTTGATCACGCACGTGACCTTGAATGCATTATTCTGGTTGCTTCGCGCCCACATAACCCGAATGACATTTTAGGGCCTGGGATGCCCTGTGCCTGACCCGTTGCATTGCTATCACTTTGACCTGTTGTCGTCGCAACTTCGATCGCGCATGCACTTTTGATTTCATTTGGTGCTGCGCACCCGCGTATTTCGATGCGGGTGCTATTTGAATATGTGCTTTGAACGCATACCTGCACGCGCTGCTTTCATTGTACCTCAGTAGTGCACTTGACGCAGGACTATCCTTTCTTCTTTCTGTTGCTCCCCCAACCCCGTCGCCTGTGGTGACGGGGGGTCGTCGATTTTTTTTTTCGGGGGGCGCACCTTCGGCCCGCTGAAGGTGGGCGGGCCCCCCTGAGCACCCCGTGCCGCGTGGTTGGTCTTGTGTTACTCTCCTAGCCGAGGTGGGCCCCGCTTGGGGGGCGCAGGGGTTGGAAAATGGTGTTTTGAGTGGTCTTCGCACCTCTGTTCCCAAGTCCCGCCTGTGTCTCCCGTGGGCCCGACGCCGGCGTGGAGCGGGCGGGATTCGGGGCGGTGTGTGTGTGTGTGTGAGTGCGTGTGTGTGTGTGTGTGTGCGTGTTTGTATGAAGCCCGATCGTCTCCCCTTTCTGTCCATCTATCCTGTTATCCTTTCGGCGCAAGTGCGCCCTTGTTCCGTCGGGCGCATGGGCAAACGAGTCTTCCCTTTTCCCCCAATTGCCCTCCACCTACGGATCATACGGTCGGTTCGATTCATTGGCTGGCAACCTCCGTTCACACTTTCGCTTCCTCGTGTTCGCACCGCCCCGACTTGTCGTTCCCTCAGCGCGCTCCTCCGCTTCTGGGCTGTCTCCTCGGTATCCGAGGCGCCGCCTGCGCGCTTGGTCCGTCTCCTATCTCCCGCAAGCCTCCTGCATTAGCCGCGTCGCTTCGCTGCCCCTTTCGGTGCGGATCACCTTCGTGCGCGGCATTGGCTCCCCACCACTAGTCGACGGGCCTCCGCGGACGCGGCTCCGACAGCTCTGCTACACGTCGACACGCCGCCATTTGTTCTTCATCCCTCTTTCACCTGTAATGCGTGGGCGTCGTGGCCGGCCGTGGAGGCGCGAAAAGTGCTTTACGACTGAACTCGATTCGTTCCCATTCTCCCATCCACTCCTCCTTCGTTCCTTTTCATGCCTCCCTCCGTTTCTTGTCCCAATTCTGTCCTCCTTTCCTCCCTCGCCCTTGCTCCCTGCTGGCACCTCACTCTCCAGCTCCTAGATTATTCCTCGTACCTCCCCCCCTCTGGCGCGCGTCTTCCCGCCCCCTTAGGATACCGGTGTTCGGGGTGCGCGTGCGGCTGAAGGACGTTAGCCCGGGTGCGCTGAAGGCTGATCCCAAAGGAGCGGCAGGAGGGCGAGGAAGAGGAGGGGGAGGGAGGGAGGGAGGGAGGGAGGGAGGGAGGGAGGGATGGAGGGATGGAGGGAGGAGGAGGAGGAGGAGGAGGAGGAGGAGGAGGAGGAAAAGGATGAGGATGAGGAGGAGGAGGAGCAGGGACGAGGGCGGAGGGAGGGGAAACGTGGGAACAGGAGCGGGATCATGGGATCATGGGCAGGATGGGGGAGGGGACGGGCCACGAGAGGCGGCAGCTGGCTTGGCGAAGAGGCGTTTGTGCAGGGCGGGGCAGCCGCGCGAGGAGGAGGAGGACGAAAAGGAGGAGGAGGAGGAGGAGGAAAAGGAGGAGGAGGAGGAGGAGGAAGAGGAGGAGGAGGAGGAGGAGGAGGAGGAGGAGGCGGAGGAGGGAGGAGGAGCAAAACCAGGAAGAGGATGAAGAGGAGGGAGGCGGGCGCAAGGACGCACGGGGAGGAATGGACAGACCAGATCCGACGGATCACCACCCACCAGACCGCCTCAACCCAACCTGAAGGCCCAATGTTGCCTTCCATTCGCAGTGTGGGGGGGGGGGCGTCGGGAAACATTGGAAACACATGTGGAACCCGTACCCCCCCGAAACTTGGGTCTCTGGGTTGGGGTGGGGTGGTCTGGTAGGTAGTCAACGAAAGGACAGGTGCACGAGGCGGGTGTGAGGACGGGTGGGGCGGGTGGCACACGGAGGACGCTCGTGACAGACGGACGGGCGGATGGACAGCATGAAACGCACGTCGAGGGACGCGGGCATCGGGGCCTGAGCAAACTAAAATATTACGCACTCTGAAACATGCGTGCCAGTGAGCTTGGGATGTCATGCGTTCACAGCGATTGGTCCGTCCCGAACCAGGGGGCGTGGAAGTAGAGTGCGGTGCTCAAGATCCTGGAATGCGCCACTCCGTAGCCGTGCTGTTGACTCAAGACGGTCTGCCTCAGGCGTCTTTGCCAGACGTGCTGCAAGCTTTTGGCGCACGGCTTAACCCCGAACCAGGGCTCCAGCCAAAGGATGCTCTGGCGATTTCGCGAAATGTGTTCGTTCTGAATTCGTCTTGCAGCAAAGGCGGAACGGAGACGGAACGAGGGAAACAAATATCAGCCAGCGTTGATTCCAAATAGATAGGACAGGAGGAGGATGAGAGGAGGATGGGAGGAGGACGACAGGAAGAAGGGAGCAGGACGGGAGGAGAACGGGAGAAGCAACATCAAGCAAGTGCAAGCAAGCAAGCGGAAGCAAGCCAGCGTTAGCGAGCAATAACAAGCAAGCAAGAGCCAGCGATCAAATGCAAGCAAGCAAGGGCAAGCAAGAGCAAGCACGCGAGAGCACGTACGCAAGAGCAAGCAGGCAAGTGCCATTGGAAACATGGGGGTGAGTGCCATTGGAAAAAGGGGGGGCGGGTGCCATTGGAAAAAAGGGTGGGGATCCTAAATATCAGTTGCTTATGATGAGCTAGGACTCCTACAGGGCCAGCCTGTTCGGAGAAAAGTGGGAAACGGAACGCCGCGAAAGAATCCCAGGACGAGAAGAGCCGAAAACCATACATGCACGGAGAACGCGAAGACAAGGACACACACACAGCACGATAGAGGACGAAAACGAGGACGAAGACGAGCGAGGCCGAAAAAACGATAAACCGAAGACGACAGACGTGGAACACCGGAAAGTGCCACACGCCCACGGAACAACAACAACAACACCAACAACAGCAGCAACAACAACAGCAACAACACCAGCAACAACAACAGCAACAACAACACCAACAACAACAACACCAACACCACCAACAACAACAGCAACACCAACAACAGCAACAACAACACCAACAACACCAACAACAGCACCAACAACAACAGCAGCAACAACAACAGCAACAACACCAACAGCAACCACAACAACAACACCAACAACAACACCAACAACAACAACACCAACAACAGCAACAACAACAGCAACAACAACACCACCACCACCACCACCAACAACAACAACAACAACAACACCAACAACAACAACAACAACAACACCAACAGCAACAGCAACAGCAACAACAGCAACACCAACAACAACAACAACAACAACAACAACACCGCCTGGGCCGAGCGCCCTGGCACCCCAGACGCCCGCACGGCCTGCGGGCTCCCTGGGGGGAGAGAGAGCCGGGGGGGTGGACGGGCCTCCCGCCCGGGCGCGTCGACTGTCGGGGGCCCCCAAACGCTCCTCCTCCTCCTCATTCCTCCTCTTCCTCCTCCTCTTCCTCCTCCTCCTCCTCCTCCTCCTCCTCCTCCTCCTCCTCCATCTTCCTCCTCCTCCTCCTCGTCCTCCTCCTCCTCCTCCTGCTCCTCCACCGTGCGGTGAGCCAGTGGGGACTCGGGGTCGCCGCAGGGTTTTGGGGCTCGGGTCCCTCTCCGAGGACGTCTCGGGGCGACGGGGGCCTCCGGGGTCCCAGGACCGTGCGGTGAGGGACCGTGCGGTGAGGTCCTGGGGGGTTTCGAGGTCACCGCACGGTCAGTCACCGCACCGTTTCGGGACTCCAGAGATTGGCGAACTGGCCGTTTTGGGTCCGCGAGTGGGCGCCGCGGCTGTCGACTTCGAGCTCCGATGTGGATTCCGATTTCTCAAGGAGGCCCCACTGCTCTGCCGATGTCACCCGTTTCGACTCCTTTCGGCTCGGCTGCCGATTTGAGACGCTCCTATTCATTCGGGGGTGGACAGACCTCCCACCCTGACGCGTCGAGTGGCGAATCGGCTGTCTTCGGTTCGCGAGAGGGCGTCGCGGCTGTCATCTTTGCGGGTCCGGGTCCGTCGGTTTCGGCCCCAGGCCGTTTTCATTGATTGGTGGCTCACCAAAGGGAGGCCTCTCCACCGCCGAGAGAGCGGCTGCCAGCCTCGACCCCCGCCAGCACGCCACGGCCCGGCCGGAGTTGCAGCGGAGGAGCTGGGGCAGCAGGCGCCGACGGATGGGGGCGGCGCTCTCCGCGTGAGTGGAGGAGACCCCGCGGCCCGTCTGCCGGTGCAGATGTTGATGGGCCGGTGTCCCACCACTCACACAGACCACTCATACTCAGTCAGATGCACTCAGACTCAGATACGCTCATACTCAGACTCATACACATTCAGAGTCACTTACACTCAGAGTCACTCATATTCGGACTCACTCACACGGACCACTTACACTCAGGCTCGCCTCGCACTCAATGTGTGAGAATGTTGATGGGCCGGTGTCCCACCACTACTGCCAAAGGCAGGGCGGGGGAGGAAGGAGGATGGGGAGGTCTTCCTCCTCCTTCTCCTTCTTCTCCTGCTGCTCCTCCTCCTCCTCCTCCGCCTCACCGTCCTCCTACCTATGGTAGCCGTGGCGGAAACATCAGCCCATCAAACGTTGGGCTCGGAGGAGGGCGCCAGCTCGGCAGACCAGGCCTCGAGCCTGCCAGAAGGGCTCTCCGCGCACGCGGAGGCGGCGCCGCCGCGCGCAGCGCCGCTCGGGGCGGCTCGGCATCCCAGTCGAGCCGCCAGAGTGCTGGGCCGGGTCCAGTTCCAGAGCGCCACCCAGATTGCTGCCGTCCTCCAGGCCACTGCCGCCGGACGGGCCGAGCATCGGCGTCAGCGAGGTGTCGTTCTGACCGCGGCTTCGACCTCTGGCCAGTGACCGTGGCGCAGCACTGGTTTCGCATTTGGTGTGGGGAAGCGCACGGCACTTCTGTCTGCTGCTCCTCTTGTTTGTCCTCGTCATCGTCGTCGTTGTCGTCGTCGTCGTCGTCGCCCTCGTCGTTCTGCTCCTCCTTTTTTATCCTGGCACCCATGAGCCCTCGCCAAGCGGAGCGCGGCTCGCCAGTGCAGCCACAGAGATGGCAGGATAGTTTTCATTTAGGATCCACGTTTCTACCCATATCCTAAGATGGGGTTATGATTTGTACTCAGACGCCTCATATTCACATCCCACACCTTCCTCCGCCCCCACTAATCCTCCCCCTCCTCACTCATACTCAGACTCACTCGCAGACTCAGTCATACTTTGACTCGCTCATGCTGAGACTCCCACTCGGACTAACTCACACAGACGAGTCCAGAGCGGCCTCCGGCACCGTTTCCGGACAGATCCGGTGGATCCGCTGGATCCGCTGGATCCGGTGACGAATCCCAAACCGGCGCCCTCGCTTGAGACATCCTCACAAAACCGGCCCCGGGGGAGGTGCCCAGAGGAGCCCAGAGCGGCCTCCGGCACCGTTTCCGGACAGATCCGCTGGATCCGCTGGATCCGGTGACGAATCCCAAACCGGCGCCCTCGCTTGAGACATCCTCACAAAACCGGCCCCGGGGGAGGTGCCCAGAGGAGCCCAGAGCGGCCTCCGGCACCGTTTCCGGACAGATCCGGTGGATCCGCTGGATCCGCTGGATCCGGTGACGAATCCCAAACCGGCGCCCTCGCTTGAGACATCCTCACAAAACCGGCCCCGGGGGAGGTGCCCAGAGGAGCCCAGAGCGGCCTCCGGCACCGTTTCCGGACAGATCCGCTGGATCCGCTGGATCCGGTGACGAATCCCAAACCGGCGCCCTCGCTTGAGACATCCTCACAAAACCGGCCCCGGGGGAGGTGCCCAGAGGAGCCCAGAGCGGCCTCCGGCACCGTTTCCGGACGATCCGGTGGATCCGCTGGATCCGCTGGATCCGGTGACGAATCCCAAACCGGCGCCCTCGCTTGAGACATCCTCACAAACCGGCCCCGGGGGAGTTGCCCAGAGGAGCCCAGAGCGGCCTCCGGCACCGTTTCCGGACGGATCCGCTGGATCCGCTGGATCCGTGACGAATCCCAAACCGGCGCCCTCGCCTGAGACATCCTCACATAACCGGCCCCGGGGGAGGCGCCCTCGCTTGATACATCCTCACATAACCGCCCCCGGGGGAGGTGCCCAGAGGAGCCCGAGCGGCCTCCGGC